GATCTCTAGGCTACATATTAATATGCTCCTCTGGAGCCTCTTGAGCTGGTTTCAGAGTTTAGCCCCCACAGTTCAAATCACCCTTAGCATCACTGTCTTCCATGCTTCACTAAGACGGCCCATTAAGCCTCACTTAACATGTCCAACTACTTTTCTAATCCAAAGTCCCAAAGTCTACATTCCTCCAATTAAAAACAAAACCAAAAACAAACAAACAAACAAAAAAACCTTGGTCACAGCAATGCCTGACTCTTTGTACCAGCTTCTGTCTTAGTTAGAGTTTCTATTCCTGTGAAGAGACACTATGACCACATTATCTTTTATAAAGGAAAATATTTAATTGGGGCTGGCTTACAGTTCAGAAAATCAATCCATTATTGTCATGGCAGGAAATAGGCATCGTGCAGGCAGACATGGTGCTATAGCAGGAGCTGAGAGTTCTACAATCAGATCAGCCGGCAGCAGGAGTAAATGTTAAACTAGGCCTAGCTCGAGCATAGAAATTTCAAAGCCTACCCCTACAGTGACACACTTCCTCCAACAAGGCCACACCTCCTAGTAGTGCCATTCCTACGGACCAAGCATTCAAACACATGATCATGTCTGTGGGGTCCATACCTTGTCAAACTACCACACTCTCACTACTGATATATAAATTTTAAAAACAGCATTCCATTGCAGGAGTCATCATCTTAGCCACAGAAGATTCCTTAGCACAGTGACAGCAAGTACTGGGGACTGAGCTCAAGCTGAACATGGAAAGAGAGAAGGAGGACAGGGTTCTAGGCAGGTTCTGATGGCCGAAGTCAACAGGGCACCTCCGCTCCCAGGAGGCAAACTTCATTACTGTCTGCATGTATCCTAAAGAAAGCCCAACTACAGATCAGATATGCTCTCTCCCCCTCAACTTACCATCTGTGCCCAGAGAAAGTTTTAAATAAGCCTGTGTTGAGCAAATAAATTGTCTTAGTCATTTTTCTCTTGCTGTGAAGCAACACCATGACCATGGCAACTTTTATAAATAAAAAAAAAAAAGCATTTAATTTAATATAGGTTGCTTACACTCAGAGGTTTAGTCCATTACTGTTATGGCAGGAAGCATGGCAGACATAGTGCTGGAGAGGTAGCTGACACTTCTACACTGGCAGATGGGTAGGCAGAAGGAAGAGAGTGAGAGAGCCACTGAGCCTGGCTTGAGCTTCTTAAACCCCAAGGCCCAATGACACACTTCCTCCAACAAGGCCACACCCACACCAACAAGGCCACGCCTCCTAATCTCACTTCCTAAACAAATATTGGAGCCCATAGGAGCCATTCTTATTCAAACTACCATATAAGTCTATCTTATAGCCCTTTATTTCCTAGCCTGAGCTACAGATTGTGTCTCAAAAGGAAACAAACCAAAGAGAAGGAACGCTTACTAGTAAAAATAGATACATTGTATTTGGTGGTTTTAATGAAAAAGGCCTTCAGAAACTTGTATGGTTGGTGAATTCTGCTTTGTTTTGTTTTGTTTTGTTTTTTACATTTTTTTTTTTTTGTTTTTTTCAAGACAGGGTTTCTCTGTGTAGTCCTGGCTTTCCTGGAACTCACTCTGTAGACCAGGCTGGCCTCGAACTCAGAAATCTGCCTGCCTCTGACTCCCAAGTGCTGGGACTACAGGCATGCGCCACCACTGCCCAGCTGTTTTTTTACATTTTTAAAAGATATTTTAATTTATTTATGTGTATGTGTATGAATGCTCAATTTGCATGTGTGCCCGCATTACAGAAAAGGGCATCAGATCCCATCACAGATGATTGTAAGCCACCATGTGATTGCTGGGAATTGAACTGGAGGCCTCTGGAAGAGTAACCAGTATTATTAACTACTGAGCCATCTCTCCAGTTCTGAGGCTTGTATGTTTGAATACTTGGTTCCCAGTTGGTAGAACAGTTTGAGAAGAAACAGGAGATGCTGTATTTCTGGAGGAGGTATGGCACGGAGAGCAGGCTCTGAAGTTCTAAAAGATTCATGTGGCTCAAAGTAATGCTCACTCTCTGTCTAGTCTGTCAGGTACCAAGATGTGAGCTCTCAGCTCTTTCTTCCCTCCATCATCATTGGACTCCAACCTTCTGAAACTGTAAAGCCATTTAAACAGTTTCTTTATAAGTTACATTGGTTATGACATTGTGTCACAGCCCTGGACAAGTAACTAAGAATGAGGCCTGGGAACAATGAGGAAAAGCAGGAGCAGCTTAGGAAGAAGGGCTGGGGGACTGAACGACCCCAGTCAGAGAGTATGTACATACAAGGATCCTCCTGATTTATCACAGGTTCTTTCTCTCAGCGTGACCGTGAGCAATGGACTTTGGCAGATGCCCCTAACACTCTATGGGCTAGGTGAGAGCATGGAGTTAGTGCAGGATGAGGAAGGGAGGGGTTCCTACAGTGTGAACTGGGAAGCCTGAGCCCTCTGAGTCAAGTCAGTCACTCAGTATACTCTTTTCTAAGGCCTAGTCATCACCTACAGCTCAGCCGAGTGCCACTTCCTGCTCAGCAGCGGGTGTGTGTGTGTTTACCTCTGTGCCCTCCTGTTGTTGTCCCATATAGCCAAGTCTAACACATGCACTACAATGTGCTAACTTCACCTGTGCCTTCCCATGAACCCAGGAATGCTCTGAGGCGTACTTAGTAGAAGCACAGTGTACTGACAGAAGTGACACGGGATATGCGGTTCATTCTCTAACAGTAACTTCCATGCTTACTGACAGAAGTCAGGGCTGTTCTGCTAGCTTCAGGTAAGCACACAATACATGTCTATTTGATGCTCACAATTAACCCACCATTAAACACAAGGACCTATATCTCCCACATTGGAGGTCTCTGAATTCCATAATAAAATCTCATTTTGGAAGTTTCTGTATTTCTACAGGGCATCTAAGAGTTGATGCTGATAGATCATTAAGATTCCAACAACTTAGTGAAAACCTAAGAGGGTACAAGAGAAAGGGTCAATAAGCTTTCTGCTCTAAATGGCCATACACTGGCTCTCTTCAGTTGCCAGTTCACATCTCCACAGAGAGGACCAGAAGCCCCTATAAAATGTGTCTTCCCTTTGTTGTTTCTCTCTGTGACCTCTGCTACCCTGGAACACAGGACTATAAAGCCAGGCAGCTCTATTAACCAGAACAGGAGTCCAGAAGATGGGGAGTTGTCACTGAAGTAGTCTCTAGCAGCCGGCAGCCCAGCTAACAGACATATTTCTGTCTTAAGTAAAGTTCACACAAATGTTTTCAAGGCTTGCTCTCCAAGAATTTTTTCCTTCCCCAAACCCAGTGTGTTCATGATACAGAACCATCTGGGTCACAGATACCCATACAGAGTGACAGAACCATCTGGGTCACAGTTATCAATACAGAGCGACAGAACCATCTGGGCCACAGTTATCAATACAGAGTGACAGATCCATTTCACCCCAAACATGTCAGGTGGAGACACTAAAGAAAGTCTAACGAAATCCACAGAAAGCAGTTAAGGGTGGGGTGGGAAGTAGACAAGAGCCTTGAAATGCTGCCCCATTTATTCCTCAGTTTCTTAGGGAATTGTGCTTGCTTTGTTTGTTTTCAAGAAAAAAAATCCCACCAATAATATTTTGCAGGCTGGGTGAACCTCCCTTCCAGACTTTGAAAGAAAGCTGTCTAGTATATAAGCGACCAAACTGAACTCCTTATAAGCCCGAAGTTTAGGGGTTCAGAGACTCGTGTCCTGGGGCCTGGGAGCAGCATAATCTATATATAAGCAAATACATATATCTCTTCAGTTGCTCACGCGAACAGGAAGGAACAAGTTCACCTTGGACTAGGGAAATTAAAGGGTTTGCAGCAGCTTAAACAGTGAGTAAATTCTCTAGAGCTTTGTCCGTCTTTAAGTAGAAATCCTCTGAAGAAAACCAATGCCAATGGAAAAAAAACCACACACACCCCTTACACACACAGTCACACACACACATACATACAACAGCAGGACAGTTAGAAAAGCATGGTGCAGGATGAGAGAAAAAGTCCTTCTGAAAACTTTCATGCTTCTTTATGGAAGAGAAAAAAAGGAGGATTGAAGGGCATTTCTTCTGAAATCCCATCTCTCTAAAATGCTCACCATCCTGAGGTAACTTTTTTTCTAGAGAAAGAAGAGGATAGGAAGGTGAGGTTAAACTTATGCATGAGCCAGGGAGAGAAAGGATGTGACCAGAAAGATGCACAGAACCCCCATGGTCCTCAGGAGCACAGCCCGGGGTCCAGGAAGAGATGTGCCTTTAAACTTAATAGTTATTCTTGCCCAAGTGCAAATCCAGAGATCAGCCTTGAAAAGAAACTAAAGAGCAGAGAGGGGAAGTCAAGTTCAAGCAGGCAGAGGGAAGGAGAAAGAAAGCAAGGAAGGAAGGATGTCCTTCTGCATTGAGGTCAGCCTCTGCCTCCGCCTCGGCTCTCTGCCTTCCACACTAACACTGGGCACACATCATGACAGAAGGACGGCAAGCAAAATGTGTGCATTTGTGTCCTCTCGTGACCTTCGCAGGAGCATTCATTCTAAGCAGAGACTCACTTAGAAGGCAGGCGCGGCCTAATTCCCATGCAGCTCGGTGACAAATATAGCCTACTTTATCAAAACTGCTCAGTGGTGGCACAAACTGCAGATGATAATTTATGAAAGAAACTAATTCAACTGACTAAGGCAGTGGCTGTCAAACAAAGGCCAGCAAATCCACACTGACAGCTCCATGCAGCCCACCAGCATAACTAAAGAAAGGCCTACTTCGCTAACGGCATCATCTTTAGCAACGGAGGCAGAAAAACACAAGAGCTCCCTTTTCCCAACAAAGAACTTTGTCATGGGCGGTCCCCCATTTTCAAATGTAAAATATTTCAGGACAGTAAAACTCTCCCCAGCGTTGACACTCTCAGAGCATCAAAGCGCACACAGACCAGTGATCTATGAATGAGCTGGGAGTTGCCACCTACCTAGTTATATTGTTGAAGCTGAGGAAGAGGCGTTGGAGGCAGGGCAAATTATCCACATCTCTCTAGAAGACAACAGAAAGCAAAAATGTATCAGTTGAAAGGAAAAAAGACTGTATTCAAATGCCTTCCTGTTCAGCTGTTGGAAGATATTCATCTTTCCCCCTCCTGCAACCTCGCTACACCCTTCATCTCCACTGGACTCGGAGAGCCATTCTTTGCTGCTGCAGAGCGAGCGAGTGGGAGGGTGTCAGCACATCCGCAGAGCAAGCTGCACCAGTGCTAGCAAGGTAGAAAGCAGTGGAGGAAGCAGGGATCACTGCAGCTAGCTTCCTTCGGCGTGCGCTTGGGAAGGATGCCAGGATGCTACTTCAGCAGTTACTGTAGCCCAGGCCGTGTGATCAGGGCTTGTTCAGAGTCACTTTTCAAAAGGAGATATTCAAAAGCTTTCCAAACAATGGTGCAAATTTCAAAGCCATTTGCCTCATTAGTCTCAAACTGCTGGAAATAGATCACTCGGTTATAAAGACACAATACAGGGACAACCATGACCAAACTAAAAGCAGATCATAATGTCACTGACAGGCACTATAAGGTCAGCTCCTAAATTAGGCACAGACTGAAGGTTTAGACTCCATACTTAAATTTGTGCTTAAAAACGTCCTGCAGTATTTTTAAAAGTTGTTCTTAGCCAATACTGAAAGATTTAGGTTCAGATGACTGGAAAAATTTACAAAATAAATCTGTTCAATTTCATTAGGCAAAACAACAAGAAACCCAAACAACAACAACAAAAACAACAACAAAACCTTCTGAGAAAGTCTTACATACTAGGGGAATAGCCTCTGCTAAGGAAGTAGAGTAATCTGACAGTGTACAGAATACAGCAGATGAAGCTGCCACAGGTGCAGTACAAGGGTGGGACATCAGAGTGGAGGGTGGGCTGTAAGGGTGGAGGATGAGCTATCAGGGTGGAGGGTGGGCTGTCAGGGTGGAGGGTGGGCTGTCAGGGT